TATAGTATAATTTACATATGAACTATATATAAAAACTATATAAACTATAGTTTATATAAACTATATACTATAGTTGATATTTATATATAAACTATATAGTTTATATATGAACTATAGTTTACAAATGAATTATATATATAGTTTATTAGTGAACTATATAAACTATTTATATAGTATATACTATATATATAAACTATAGTTTATATTTATATACTACATACTATAGTTGATATTTATATACTATATATTATATATAAACACTATATATACTATATAGTATAATTTACATATGAACTATATATAAAAACTATATAAACTATATTTTATATATAAACTATATACTATAGTTGATATTTATATAGTATATACTATAGTTGATATTTATATACTATATAATATAATTTATACTTATATAATTTATACTATATAAATTCAAAAACCCTCATTTGATCTTCACAAACACCAAAACCCAAACCATATCATGGTTTTTTCAATCAAACACCCATATTTTCAACCATTGTTCATCCGTGTTCATCCCAAAAACCCTCATTTGATCTTCAAAAACACCAAAACCAAAACCATTTCGTGTTTTTTTTCGATCAAACACCCAAAACTTCATCCCGTGTTCATCCCAGTTCTTCCCCAAACCATTATTTGATCTTCAGAAACATAAAAACCTAAACCCATTCTTATTTTTTTCGATCAAACACCCAAAAGTTCATCTATTGTTCATCCGTGTTCATTTATGTTCTTCCCCAAACCCTTACAAACACCCAAAACTTAAAACCAACTTGGTTTTTTTGATCAAACACAAAACCCAAATTTTAGTTCATCCTTGTTCATCCCGAAACCCTTCTTTGATCCTTACAAACACTAAAAATCAAAACACAAATTGTTTGTTTATATCAAACCCACCATTGTTCATATTCTCTATCTCCTAACCCAAACCCAAACCCTAATCAAAACCCAAACCCAAACCTGAAACCAAACCCGAACCCGAACCCGAACACGAACCCGAACGTGAAACCAAACCCGAACCCAAACCTGAACCCAAACACGAACCTAAACCCGAATCCAAACCCAAACCCAATCCAAACCCAAATTTGAATCTGAACCCGAACCCGAACCCGAATCCAAACTATTCAAAACCTTTATTTTTTTCTACGGTTTCATGGATATTTTATCTTATGAGTTTAATTATCCAAGTATTTCTCATTCCCTTTTTTCATTTTTATTTTAATATTCAAATTAATATATTCTTTATTTATTTTGTAGGAGAAAACCCAATAGATCAGAATGAAGAATATTCTGAAAAAGGTAAATTGCCCATTCATTTTTTGTATATTTTTTATTTATATATATATCATTTTTAATTTTGTATACTAACCCTGGTTTTTTTTAAGGTGATGTAAATGATATACTATCAGAAGTAGTTGATATCAATAAATCATCTAAGAGGAAAGCTAAATGTTCAGCCGAGTTTGGGAGAAGAACTTCTCATGTTTGGGAGAATTACACCTTCATCAAATATGTCGATGGTTCTGTTTATGTCGAGTGTAAGTATTGCAAAAATAAAAGGTATAAAGATGATTCTTATATTGGTACATCTAACCCTAGAAAGCATACTAAGAAATTCCAATCTTATAAGGAATATCTTGCTGAAAAATCCTGCTTTGGTAAGTTCTTTTGATAAAAAAAATACTGTGAATTGTTTGTTGAGGCTATTTTGTGTCATGGTTATGCATATAATATTGTTAAGCATGAAAAACTTAGGGATTTGCATCGTTACCTTAATTCATCTGTTAAGGATATATCTAGGTATAATGTTACTAAGTATTGTACGTTGGAGCATGAAAAGCATAAAAAATTGCTACTTGATTCAATGCATATTGTTTCAAGTTGTGTTTGTTTTACATGTGATGGTTGGTTTGCCTGCACTTCACGTTCTTATTTTGCTCTTGTTGCTCATTATGTTGATAATAACTGGAAACTTCAGTCTAAAATACTTAATTTTCATCGTTTTCCTCTTCCTCATGATGGTGAGTCAATCTTTAAGTTTGTTAAAAAGATGATATGTGAGTGGGGTCTTGAAAAAAAAACATTTACCATTACACTTGATAATGCTTCTACAAATGATAAAATGGTCAGGTGGCTAACAGATGATTTGAATGTCATTTCTCCTCTTCCCTGCAATGGTAAGTACTTCCATATAAGGTGTGTTGTCCACATTTTGAACTTGATAGTTCAAAAAGGTTTGAAGGTAATTGATTCTTTTGTTATTAAACTGTGTGAGATTGTTCAGTTTATTGATTCTTCTGACTCTCAACTTTGTGCATTTGAATTAGCTGTTAAAGACTGTGATTTTCTTTCTCTGGTAAGTTAGTATTGGATGTTCTTACTTGATGGAATTATACTTACTTGATGGTTCGTAGGGCACTTGAGGCTAGATTAGAAATTAACTTGTTTGTTAATAAGGAAAATGAGTTGGATTTCATTATTGATCATGAGTGGGAAATTGTTCAAACAATCTGTGATTTTCTTGAGTCTTTTTATGAAATTACTACTCTGTTCTCTGGTTCTAAGTATCTCACTTCTAACTTGTATTTGGTTAACGTTGATGCAATTGAAAAATTATTGTGTAATGCTCATAATGATCCCTATGAAGGTATTTCTGCAATGACAGGACCCATGCATGAACTATATGAGAAGTATTGGTCTAATCACTCAACGATTCTATCCTTTGTTGTTTTACTTGATCCTTAATATAAATTACAACTTCTGAAAGAGTTGTACAATGTTCTTTATGTTGAGGATGAGGTTCAACAAAGGGTAAGTCTCATTTATAATGAGTTTCTTGAGTTATATGTATTTTATTCAAAAAAAATGCAACTTGTGGTTCTTCCTCTTCTTCTTATGTCCAAAGTAACACATCCTTAGGAAGAAGTGACTCAAGTTCCAATCAGCCTCGAACATTTAGAAAATCAGATCTATTTCAGGTTAGTTATTACAATTTTGATGTTGATTCTTACATCAGTTTGCCTCTTGAACCTCATACTGGAGAAACTACTTTGATATTTTAGAGTATTGGAAAAATCAAAGTATTTCATATCTGGTACTTTCTCGCATAGCGAGAGACATATTGGCTATTCCAATTACTTCAGTTGCATTTGAATCGTCCTTTAGTATGGGGGTCAAATTTTGAACAAATTAAAAGCTAAACTCTTACCTAAAAATATTGAGATTTTTGTAACAACTCGTAATTGGTTGTATGGTTTTGAGTCGGAGGATAAGGATGAAGAATGTTTTACTGTGGTTAACGAGTCTTCTATGTAAAGGTAAGCCAAATTGTTTTTTTTTATGTTAATGTCATTAATATTTCAAATTTTTTTTATTAATTATTTTAATTTTCCTTTTAAATTTTTAGGGTGTCTAATGGTCACTGAAACCATTGAAATCGGAGATTTTGTCTTGTTTCTTCCCTTCAAAGGTAACTTAATATTTTATATTTGTTATGTTTATTTCATTAATAATTCTTTTTATTTTGTAGTGTGTCTTACAAGAAGGAATAGTTGGCGCTTGATTCTGCTTGATTAAGTTTTATATTGTTTGCTTATGTTTGATATTTGTTTGATATTACTTGCTTTTACATGATATTTGTAAGGGTTTGGTAAAGTCGGAAATTTTTATACCTTGTAAATTCTTATCTAAATAGTTACTCATGTTAAATTATGTTGGTAGCATTTTGTCTTTTAAAGCTAGAAAGTTGCTCATAATTAAACATGTTGGCAGCATTTAGGTATAAAGGCTCGATGATGATATTTATGGTAGTAAAGTTAGGCTTTTAGCCTCGTAAAACCTTAGGTATAAGATCTGAGAGCATTTATTTCAACATAAATTTATTTTGTTTAGTTAATTTTAATGTAATTTTAGTGTATTCAAGTGTGATAAAATTAACGTATTCATTTATAAATTTTTTGTTTTAGTATTTGTTATGTTATTCAACTAATATATATTTATTTTAAAATTTTAAGTTAAGTTATACTTAAATTATTAATCAATTTTCACATTAAAAGTAAATTAGATTTATGAATATTTTAACTCAATTTATATAATATAATAAAACCATGTTCAATAAGACAATAATTAAATTTAATTTAATGATTATAAATAAAATTTATAATATAAGAATTATAAATAATATAAAGAATTGGAATTAATATAAAAATCAAATTTATAATATACAAATTTAATTAGCATAAGTTTATTATAAATTTAAAATAACATAATTATATTAATTGTAACTTATTACTTATAAGTCAGGTAAATATTAGATCATTTCAACAACATGTCCGATCATTTACAGGTTGAGTCAATTACAGGTCAGGTTGAAAACAAGTCGGGTAATACCAGTTATTTATCAGGTCAATCTTGAGTTCGGGTTCATATCAGTCGGATGCAGTTCGAGTTGGGGTATCATATTTTTTGGTTCAATTCGGGTTCAGGTCGTTCTTAGATCGGGTGCAAGTTGGGTTCAGATCCACAATTTCCAGGTCCAACTCGGGTTCAAGCCAACACCAGTTCTGACTCGAGTCGGTTTCGAATCGCCACAACGCAGGTCAAAAACAGTTTTGACTCGTGTCGGTTTCAGTCAGTTTTACAGGTCGGGTCAGCTTTATACACCCCTAATATTTAGACACGCATCCAGGGAGGGTAGATTGAACCAGGAATAGCAGAATTTTAATTTAATACAAATACAAGTATTTAATTAAGGATATATTTATATAAAAAATAGTTAGGTAAAATTACATATCAAAGCTAAAATCAAGGGCCCAATTGCATATCAAAGTTAAAGTGAGGGGCCAAATTGTATCTAACTCAAATTTAGAGCCCAAATTGCATCAAAACAAAAGTCAATGACCAAATTACATATCAAAACCAAAGTTAGGGACCAAATCGCATTTGAAAACCAAAGTTAGAGGCCAAAACGTATTCAACCCTAGTTGATGATAAATAGAAGACGTGTGAGTCTTTTTTATTAAAAAATTGAAAATCAAATCATATAAGCATACACTGAAATTCTAAAGTAAAGATCTCTCTAAAGTGTTCATCTACATCTCGAAGTAACATAATTCCGAGGAAATCACAATTGTTGGAAAAAAGAAAAGCAACTTGGATCATCAAAAGGGAGATGGGGCAGGGGCTTCGACGGCAGATGAAGCTGCTGCTTGACTGGAAACAGGGCCAGCTGCAGCGCCAGAGCTCGCTATAAGCTCCACCATGCTCCGCCGAGGGTTGGAGCGCCGAGCGTTACAAAGATCAGGCAAAAACACTCCTGCAAACCAAAATATACATTAATCATGCCATTGAACACAGGATCAAGTGTTATACGAGAAAAGCATGAATAGTTTGATTCGAACAATTATTATATAATTTTAGATACTTTTATTCTATTTTTTATTGATAATTTGTTTCCTTATAAAATTTATAAGCTTGTTATCTCTTTAAAATTTGGATAAATTATATATTTAATACCCTAAATATTACTTTTGATCAGTTTTGGTCACTTAACTATTTTTTTTCAAAATCATATTTAACATTATGCTTTGATTTCATTTTGGCCACTCGCTAAAAAATAATAAAACTACTAACATGGTGGTGTCTCATGGTACACATAAGCGTTACTGTTAATTTTTTAATGGTATGTGACCAAAACAAAATAAAAGTTATAATTAAGATACTAAGCATATAGTTTACTCTAAAATTTCTAAAAATTCATCTTTTAATATAGAATCATGTCATGCGACCGTGGTGGGTAAAAGCGGAGGTGGCGATTTCATACCTTCAGCGGCGGCCAAATTGAAGTAAAGGTCAACAATGTTGGGGCACTTCTGGTAGCAAGCAGTGGAACAAAGCTTGGCAGTGAATTGTGAGTCGAGGAGTGCGTCGGATGAAATGCCGATGGAGTTTCTATCGGCCCCACAAGCGGCAACACATTGATCAGTCTCTATGTACTCCGCCATTCTTTCGACGACCACCTCCGATGTCCGGCACTGATACTCTACCTTTCCCTCTTTCCCCATCGCCGTTTCCAACAAACATCTCTTCCCAGACGATGCTATCGAAAACGCGCACACATCTTTGGGCAAATCTTCGCAAATAATCTCGGCCAGAGAAGCGTGGAGTAAAAGAGAAGAGAGGAAGAGAAAGACGGGGAATTTGAGAGAAGCCATGGATTTGATGATCAATTTGGTTTTCTGGGTTTGTTTGAATTAAGATGGAAGAATTAATGATGGAGACGAGGGCATACATGCTTATATATAGTGCAAGAAATGGCTTTGTTTCTTTTTTTTCTTTTTAATAAGTTTTCGGTAAACTACACTTTTAGGACCCCAACTATCATTTGTGTTATGTTTCAGTCACCCATTTATTTTTTTGTTTCAAAATCATACTTAACGTTACATTTTAGTTTCATTTTATTCACCCACCGTTAAAGAATTAACGATGATGAAGACATGTGACTATAAGGTAATGCCGCATCATCATTGATTTTTTTTAAAATTCTCACACCAGCAGTTCTGTTACTTTTTGACGACGATGACCAAAATGAAAGCAAAACATAACAGTAGGTATGAATCTGAAAAAAATAGTAGCTAAATGACGAAAATGAAATAAAAATAATAGTTAAGGTACTAAACATGCAATTTCATCCTAAGTATTTTTTTTAATTATTTTTTTGAGGTAAAGACGCGTTTGGCCGTTTACCAGTTTATAGCGTTTATTTACACGCACGATGGAGAAATTTCCAAGTTCCTGGCCGTTTCGTAATTTTGTTTCTAGAATTTTGAAGTTTCAACTTGGCTCAGCATGTCCAAATTTAAGTGGTTTAATTTAACTAATATTATTATTATTCTCTTCCTTTAATGCCAACCAAAGACGAAATTATAGTGTTAGATTAATTCATTTTAAAAGCATGTGAATATACTTGTCAAATATATACAAAAAATAAAGATATTTCTACCATAATACATATTCACAATTAAACATTGACTTGTATTTGCTATTTCGTTGGGACAATTTCCGGGAGGCAAAAAAGAAAATAATTTTCATGTTAAATGGCGAACAATTTCATAAATAAATGGCTAAATTTTGTTTTTCATCACTCAACTTTGCGTTTTTCTGTTTCGGTCATTAAAAACTTAATTGTTCCTATTTTAATCACTCTACCGTTAAATAATTAACAACGTTGTTACAACACATCTATTTTTTATTTTTTATTTTGAAATTATAAAAATCCCAGAAATTTTTACTTTTTTTTTTCAAAAACCTTGAAATCTTCTTAAAATCTAAATTTTTGAATTCCCTTTGATTTTTCAGCACCGGAGCATCTTATTACAAATATTAATAGTGAGAGGGTCAACAAGGAGGAGACAAACTATATATCATGATTTAATGTTGATCCGACAGTGAAGATTGACAATTAGAATATTTTTTTCTCTCAGTTTGTGGATTGAGTTTCATTAGTTTTAAAGAGATTTTTCAGAAAATCTAAAGTTATAGTGTGGTAGGAGATGATGAAACATGTTCTTTAGTGTATTTAAATGGTCAAAGAAGATGTCAGAGAATGGTTTTTCTAGCATTAGAGTGACATAAGGATGAAGGTCTTAATGTTTCAGTTGGTGGGTGGAAGAAGATGAAATAAAAGAAAACCGAAAAATGAGATGGACAATATATATCTTTTATGCTAGCAAAAATCAATTCACGCCAGTATAAAACCGTCCATGCCACCCTAAAATCTCTAATTTAACATTCAAATGACTAAAATAAGGGCGGTTTGAAAATTCAATTATCAAATTAAAAAACTTAGAGTTGAGTGACAAAAACAGAAACATGAATAATTTGGGTGGTGAAAAACATAATTTACCATTAAAGGGGGGATACATCACAAATACTTTTTAAAAATAATTTTTGTTTTATTAATATGTCATTATGAGATTCATACCTCATTAATGGTATAAATTAGGGTAAATTAGATCGTATGTCATTGTATTATGAGTGAGCTTATGATTGGATAATCGTATTTTAAAATCTCTCAATTAGGATATTTTATTGATAACTATCAAATTATTTTACCATTGAATATGTAACAAAAACTTTTTTGTTGCAATATTTTCACTTTATTTATTGATTATAAAACCATATTCTTCAAATGTAATTAAAAATTATTGTCTATTATAATACATTTAAGGATAAAATGATATAATTATAACAATCGATAAATAAAGTGATTTTTATGACTTTTAAATTGTGATAACCTAATTATAAGATTAATCATAATACAATGACTTGTGGTATAGTTTTTCTTATAGATTATATAACGAGATCAAAAAAATTATTTATATTAATTTTATGAGTAAAGTACACATGGACACTCAATTATAGGATACTGTTTTGTTGAGTCATTTGACTATTGAAAGTTACGAAATGGTTCATTGATTATAAGACATTGTTTTATTGAGTCCCTCGACTATTAAAAGTTACAAAATGATCATTTGACTATTCATCTGTTTCAAACTCATCTTTTTCCTTAAAAAAAATTGATGGTCATCTAAGTTGAACGGTAACGTGCTGATTAAAATATGATAAAATATGATTCTAGAATCTCAAAAGACTATACAATTCAAACGGTTCTAGAATCAAATTTTATCATATTTCAGTGAACAGATTAACGTCTAGCTCAGATGATCATAATTTTTTTAATGAAAAATGATGAGTTTGTAATATATGAACAGTCGAATGACTATTTTGTAACTTCTAATAGTCGAGGGACTCAACAAAATCATAATCTTATAATATATGGGCCATTTTATAACTTTTAATAGTTGAAGGACTCAACAAAGTATCATTCTATAGTCATGGGATTGTTTTTATACTATACCCTAATTTTATATTATTTGTATACTTTAATTTTATATTAGAAAAGGATTAAACTAGATCAGCGTGTTAAATAGAAACCGGAAGGAAAAGTGGAACATATGCTCCTTTGAATGCCACCTACATATACTTAACACGATGGTTTTGGTTGGTTTCCATGAAGAAACTCAGCTGGTTGGTCAATGGCCATATATTTCTTTGTATTGACGGCGAAGGTTGGAAGCTTTCAAGGAAATTATGTGAGTAAATAATTATTGCATCTGATTACGTCATATCAAATCACGTTTTCATTTTCTTTATTAAAGATCCATTTTGTTTGGTATTTTTTCATGAATGTTTCTTTGCATTGTCGCCAAGGATATCTATATGCACTCAAATTCCTAAGACCTTGAGACCTGTAAAAGTTAGTGTAAACACTCATTTTCGTCTATATTTATTTTTTATTTTATTTTGTTTATATATTATATAATTGTGAAAAATATTTTAAAAAATATATATGATATATAGTTTTTAAAACATATATATTATATAGTTTTTAAAACATTTTGAATATATATATAATATATAGTTTTTAAAACATTTTGAAAACATTTATATATTATATAGTTTAAAAACGTTTTTGAAAATAAATATAATATATAGTTTTTGAAAAATATTTTGAATATATATATATTATATAAACTTTAAAACATTTTTGAAAATTATATAGTTTTTAAAAACATTTTTTTAAAAATTATATAGTTTTCTAAAAATATTTTTAAAAATTTATATATAATATATAGTTTTTAAAAGAAACAGTTTTAAAAATGTATATTATATAGTTTTTATTTATTTATTATTGTTATTGTTATTATTATTATTATTTATTATTACTATTATTATTTTTTATATTACTTATTTTATTTTATTTTTTTAGGTCCAAATGGGTCAACTGTCCATTAATTTAAATTCGGTCTAGCTTTAGGCCTGATCTAGCCCGTTGGAGTTTAAGGTTTGGGAACCCTAAAGCATGTTCAGTTACAACGCAGCACGGGAGTCAAAGGGTCATTGGCGAAATGGTCGGCCGAAATCTCGGGACTGACCCATTCCGGGCTGGCCGATCAACCACGAATAAAAACGACCCGTAATATCCGAGATCGACCTCCAAAATGACCAGAAACAGCCCTCATCGGGGCTATATAAATACAACAACATCATCGAACAGAGGGAACCGATTGGGGGAACCATCATCACAACCAGTTCTGAATCTGAAGAATAGGAATCGGAATCAGAGTCGGAGCTATAGGAATCAGATGAAGAATATCTTCTTTTTCTTTTATTCCTTCTATCCTTCAAAGACTTTCTGCTTCTCTTCACTTGCTCATCAGAACTGTCGGAAGAAGTAACTTTTGTTGATTTTTTCCCTTTCCCTGAACAAGAAAAATAATGTAGCAAAAGGCCAGCAACTGATCCAGAAATCACGAATTATTGCTATTCGCAAAGCTTAAAACTAGCTTGATCCCATACCTCTTAGCTTCAGATACTACAAAATCCAATCCCTTCAAGGAAACAAAAAAAACATAAAGAAATCAGAAACAGATCAAGGACCAGATTTTTTAACCTGAAAATGTTTTAATTTGAACCTGGAACATCAGCTCGTTGTAGGAGCCAGGTGAGTACTGAAGAGGTCTGTCTCCACCATCACTGAAAGCCCAAGTTCTTGCTATGGCGTTGGGGTAGTTACAACTCCCAACTCCACTTTAACGGACGGGATGGAGTTGGGGTAGTTGCCGAATTGGCAAAACGAGAAGGATTTGGAGGTGGGGTTGCGGTGGCAGAGGAAGGAGTGGAGGCTTGACGGAGACCACGCCGGAGGCGATGAGCCGAGGAAGAGGTGTCAGGAGAGGAAGGACCTGAAAAAAATTATCTAGATTTAAAAATATTAGCAACCCAAAAAATTACACTTCAAATATATAAAATATAATCAAGGTTTTGAAGAGTAGAAGAGAGAGTAATCGTTGTTGAAATCAGCAGGAGAAGAATAGGAAGCCACGGCTAAGAAAAGAAGAGCGGCAAAAAGCGAGGGAGATGATTTTGACGGGAAATTATGCTGATTTTGGCGCCACAGTTGGCGTGACCTTGTGGCTTAAGCCCGCATGTTTTTTAATTTCATTTGATATTGTAGTGTTGTCTCTTTGTTTTAAATTTATTCAATTTAGTTCAAATTTAATGATTTAATATATTAATTTAAGCTTCATATTTCAACTTTTTTCAATTTAATGTTACAATTTATTAATTTAAGCTTCATATTTAAAATTTGTTCAATTTGATCATTATATATTTTTCAATTCTTTCAATTAATATATATGTTTATATTAATAAA